GGGGTGTGCCAGCAGAGTGGGGAGTGGGAGGGAAGATGAGCTTGGGAGTGACTGGGCTGATGGTACATCCTTTTCACCATGGGGAAGACTTTCCCTTCCTAGAAAAATGGGAGCCTCTGAGGAGCAAAAGACAGCCTAATCTGACTCAGTGTTGAACTGTTCCTTCTCAGCCCAACGATGATCAAGTATGGCATCAACAACATCCGAGAGCTGGTGGGCCACAAGGTGAACCTGCAGATGGTATATGACAGCCCTGTGTGCCGCCTGGATATCGAGCCCAGGTCTCCACAGACACAGGAGGCTGCGTGATATAGGCTGCCCCAGAGAGCTCTGTCCAGTCCCTGTGCATCCCCCAGCGGTGACCTCGCTAACATTTATGAGGCCTCTGTGAGGCTAGCTCACTCCCTCTGCCTCACCCACCAGGGGCAGGGTCCTGAGTGCAGGAAGCAGGTTTCTTGCACTGGCCTTTGGTGGTAGTGTTCTTGTAAGGGTGGATTTGGGCCCTGCGGGTCAGCTGTTGTCTAATAAAATAGGCACTTTCTCTCATGCGGTGCCTTTTGTTAGGATTCTTTGTTGTTGTTCATTTCATTAGGTGACTTGTGGGTCTTGCCTTGCTTGGTGGGAGAAAACTGGGTGACAGTTCCTGGTATGTTGGTTTGGAAGTCAGGGTTTTGGATCCTCCATGGTCTGAGATTCTAGAAGGGCCCAGGCAGCCCAGGCAGGTCCGTGGTTCCATTCAACATTTATTTTTAATGGATGTGTGTCTGTCTGTTCGGGTGCATGTGGAAAACAACCTTGGGTGTCATCCTTAGGAACACTGTCCATGTCCTATGTGACAGGGAAGCTCCAGGAACCTTCCTGCCTCCAACACTCCAGCTCTGGGATTATAAATGGACATCCTGTATTTTTTATGTGGATTGAACTCCTACACAGCAAGCACTTAACTACTGAGCCAGCCCCTCACCCCTGGCATTTACGAGTCACTGGTGCCCACTCCTCGTCTAACTGAATAGCACTGAAACTCCCTGATGAAAGGACACTTTAGTGGGTTGTTGTAGTAATAAGAGCAGTGGGCTGCGTCCCCGGCACCTGGCCGCCCCCACGGCTAGCTTTACCCGAAATAATTACACAGACACTGTATTCTTTTAATCACTGCTTGGCCCATTTCTATCTAGCCTCTTCTAGGCTAACTCTCGCACCTGGACTAGCCCATTTCTAATATTCTATGTAGCACAGCTAGGTGCGCTTACCGGGAAGATTCTAGCCTCCGTCCATCCTGGGTCGGAGCTTCATCATGTGTGTCTGCCCAGGAGCAGGGCATGGCGTCTCTGCTTGAGGAGTCTTACCTCACTTCCTCTTCCTCCCAGCATTCTGTTCTGTTTACTCCACCCACCTATGTTCTAAGCTATGAGCCCAAGCAGTTTGTTTGTTACTTAACCAATGAAATCAACCGATTGATATATGACACGCCCACATCAGTGGGTGATGGCCTAAAGCCCGCATTCCCATGCCTGGTAGGAGCAAGGCTGTGGGGTGAAAAGCTGCTCTTGGTTTCCCCCTAATGATCAAGTCTCCCAGCACTGGAGCAGCTGAAGCAGGGGCATCATGAGTTTGAGGCCAGCCTAGGCCACATACTTAGACTGTTGAATGAAAAAAGAGAGAGGTTCATAAACTCTGAGGAAAGAGTTGCATAAAGCTTCATGCACCTGCACTTTAACCTGCTTTTCTGGGCCTGCCTGTTTGTTTGTTTTTTATGTTTATGGTCATTTTGTCTGCATATATGTTTTAATTTTTTAGGCCTGGTGGTGGTGGCGGTGCACAGCTTTAATCCCAGCCGTCAGGAGGCAGAGGCAGGCAGATTTCTGAGTTTGATGCCAGCCTGGTCTACATAGGTTATCACTATAGCTCAGGCTTGCCTCAAATTTCAGATTCTTCTGCCTCAGCCTCCCAAGTACTGAAATTATAGACACATGTCACAACACTTACATTTCTTTCTTTCCTCCTTCCTTCCTTTCTTTTTTTTCAAGACAGGGTTTCTTTGTGTAGCCTCAGCTGTCCTGAAATTAGCCCAGTAATCAAGGCTGGCCTCGAACTTAGATTTGCCTGCTCTGCCTCCTAAGCTTTGGATTGAACGTGTGCACCGCCACTGCCTGACAACACTTAAGTTTATTGCCTCCTGTCAATAAATTTTAGGATCTGCCAGATGGTTATCCTTGTAACTTTTACAACAGTGTTATTTCAGATTTTTATCACAGCAGTAATAAACGGGGATGTGTTTTGAGAGTGCCAGTTTTTTAGCCAGGTGGTAGTATATGCCTTTAATTCCTGCACTCGGGATATAGAGGCAGTTAGATTTCTGAGGCCAGTAAAGGAGAGTACCAGTTTTTCCATTGCCTAGCTGGTAAAAATCCAGATTCATAGTCATTTTCCACAGAATGTAGATATGTCCTTGTTCGGGGTGTAGTTACGACAGCTCGGCTCAGAAGAGTTACACAGTGTGACAGACGTGAAACACAGGGCCTTTGCTCCTGTTGCAGTGTCCGCTGATGCTGAGCTGGTCTCCGGGCTTTTGTGTGCATCCATTCCAGTCTATTACCTATTTGTGTGTGCTGTGTTGGTGATCAAACCCAGGGTGTGTATGTTATAGACAAATGCTCTAACTGAACTATATCCTCAGGTTTAGCTCCCTTTTTTGAGACAGGGCTTCTGTATTGCCCAAACTGGCCCCGGCTCCTGGGCCCAAGTAATTTTGCGTCAGTTATCCAAATAGCAGGGACCACAGACATGTTAACTGTTCCTAGCCTCAGTCTTTTAGATTGGGTTTTTTCTTGAGTCTGGGTCAGCCCATTTTGTTCAGGTTGGCCTGAAATTGGAGATCCTCCTACCTTAGCCCCCAAAAGCTGGGTTACAGGCATTCCTAGATGCATGTTGAGTTCCATGCCAGCCTGAGCTACACAATACCTTATTTGAAAATGTAGGGAGCAGTAGTGACACAGGCCTTTAATCCCAGCACTCAGAGGGCAGAAGCAGGTGTGTCTCTGTGAGTTCGAAGCCAGCCTGGTCTACAGAACGAGTTCCAGGATAACCAGGACTACATGGTGAGACTCTTTATTGAAAAAACTAAAAAGAAAAAGAAAGAAGAAAAATTAAGTGGGTAGAGGAAGCCCTGAGTGAGTACAGTTCTGACTTGTATTTTGATGTGGGTGGGCACGGAGGAGTCCAAGACTGATTGACCCATTGAAAACTTCCAGAGCCATTACCTATATGGGCCAGGCCCTAGAGGAATGGCAGGTCCTCCTCCAGAGCCTCAGTATGACTGTTTATGGGTAATAAAGATTAGCAACTTTGGCTTCCTCTCCAGATGTGTACAGGCTAAGATTGCTCACCCACAGATACCTCCTACCAAAACTAGCTAACCCTTGTGCTGTACATAATAAAAAAACTGAGGTTCCAATCCGCAGCCATAGCTCTAGAGAACTCTACCTGATCCCATTCTTCTGTTCCTCACCAGCACTCAAGCTGCTGGGTATGTGGCATCAAAAAAAAAAAAAAAAAGTTGGAGAGATAGCTTAGTGGATAAGGTACTGGGTGCTTTTTTGAGGACGTAAGCCCAATTTCAAGCACCCATGTAGTAGCTCAACAATTGTAATTCCAGTCCCAGGGAATCTGGATCCCTCTTCTGACTTTTATGGGCACCAGGCACACATGTTGTACAGAAATATGTGCAGGCAAAACATTTTATGTGTATGGACACAAAAACTATATTAAAAAACATTTAAAGACAAAAGAGATTCCCTCCAGATGGCAGAGTGGGAAAAGGCACTTGCAAAGTCTTCCATCCCAGTGACCTACAAAGTGGAAGGAAGTAGTGGACTCCTCCAGGCTGAACTTCCTTCCAGTGGGGAAGTCAGAGTTAGCACATGTGCACACACAAGTAGGTTAAATGTATAAAAATTCACCTGAGTTCAATTCCCGCCACCCACATGGCAGCTCACAGTTGTCTGTAACTCCAGGGCCAGGGGATCTGACACAGACACACATGCAGGCAAAGCACCAATGCATATAAATTAAAAAAAAATTATTTAAAAAATTACAGCCTGGAGTGGTGGTGGACGCTTTTAATCCCAGCACTCAGGAGGTAGAGGTAGGCAGATCTCTGAGATCGAGGCCAGCCTGGTCTACAAAGTGAATTCCAGGACGTCCAGGGTCACACAGAAACCTTGCTTCACAAAAAAATAAATGAACAAATGAATGAATAAATAAATGTCGCTGGTTATCACTAGCCGTGGGGGTGCCTGCCTTTAATTCTACCACTCTGGAAGTAGATGCACGCTGATCTCTGTGTTCATTGACAGCCTGGTTTACGTAGAGTCCTAGGCCAGGACATAGTGGGACCCTGTTTCAGAAGAATTGGAAAAAAAAATTGTAGAACAGAGGGGCGGAACGCCGATGTACAGTATGAGTTCGTCAAACTCTGTAATCTGAGTGCCACAGGTGACCCTCTAGTCCTGCAAATACGCTCTGCCACCTTAGACGGTGGGCGCTGGACCAGCATAACTCCACTGGCGCCTAACCACGTAGTGTAAGCTTGGGGGGCGGGGCCAGGGAGCGCTTCTACGCGGGGAGGGGCGGGACGTGCGCAGAGGGCGGGGTGTAGCAGAAGGCGGGGCGTGCGCAGAAGACCAGCATGGGGAGGGCGGGGCGTAGCAGAGGGCGGGCGTGCTCAGAGGACAGGGGCGTGCAGAGGTCGGGGCGCGTGCAGAAGGTGGGATGTAGCAGAGAGTGGGGCGTGTGCAGAGGGCGGGGCGTAGCAGAAGACGGGGCGTGTAGAGAGGGCGGGGCGTAGTAAAAGACGGGGGCGTGGCAAAGCAAAGGTGTGCAGAGGGCGGGTGTGCTCAGAAGCCCCGCATGCTCAGAAGGCGGAGCGTGTGCAGAGGGCGGGGCGTAGCAGAAGACGGGGCGTGCGGAGGGCGGAGCGTTATCAGAAGACGGAGGCGTAGCAGAGGGCGGGAGCTCCGAGGCGGGAAAAGACGAAATGGAGCGCCAGGGAGTACGTGAGGTGATGTTTTCCCTTCCGTGGGTGGCGGGCGGGGCAAAGGGCGGGCTGGATCCGGCTCTTCCCCCGCCGACCTGAAGCAGGGGGCCGTTCCTTACTGTTGGGGCCGCCTCCTGCCCCGCGAGGCGAGGTTTTTCTGGCTGACGGAACGGCTAGTCTTGATAGAGGAGAGACGGTGCGGTCATGCGGTGCGCTACCGGCGCCGCGTCAAGGCCCCTCGCTGTGTGGACCGGGCCGGGGAGGGGACGAGGGGCGCACCGCTCGCTCGCTGTCTGCCCGAAGCTCTAGCGCGCCACAGGGATCCCCTGTGAGGACCAGACACGGGTGGGGGCGCCCGCCCACGCCGCCTCTCAGAACCTCCTGTGCTCGCAGGTGGAGGTGCCTCCCGTGGACCTAAATGACCAGGAGCCCCAGGCGGTTGTGGAGAGCGGGGAGCATCAGCAGAACGAGAACCACGAGGAAGAGGCTAGCGCCGCGGCAGCCAGGTGGGGGCCCCGTCTTGGTTCACGCGGGTCATTCCACGAGGTCTTGTTCCACGGTGACGTAACACCTTCCGGGTGCCCAGCACGGTCCAGGGTGCTGGGCGACACGTTCTCATCTTTTCCGTACCCACGAGGTTTAGTTTCAGGATTCCCCCCGCCCCCCGAGTCCGAGCTACAGGCGCTCCGGCCCCTTCTCTCACACTGCGTAGCAGCCTCATCCTCAGACTCATGCTCTCTTGTGCCGTTTGTTGTTGTTGTTTTAATACTTATTTTGTATGTGTGTGAGATGGTGAACTTGTGGAAGTCACAACCTGTTGGACCTTGTGGTTCTGGGATGAAACTGGTCTTCAGGCTTAGCAGCAAATGCCTGTTTCATGAACCATGTCATTCACGGCCCTGCTTCTGTAGACTTTAGGGGTTTGTTTGTTTTGTTTTGTTTTTTGTGTTTTAGATTTGATTGGGTGAGTGTTTTAGCTGAATGTGTGTGTGTGTACATCATGCGCATGCCTAACGCCTACGCAGGTCGAAGGGTATGTCATATGTCAGATCCTCTGGAACTGAAGTTCTGGATGGTTGTAAACCACCATGTGGGTCCTCGGCAAGAGCAAGAAGTGCTCTTAAGGCTCAGAGGTTAAGAGCACTGACTGCTCTTCCAGAGGTCCTGAGTTCAAGTCCCAGCAACCACATGATGGCTCACAACCATCTATGAGATCTGGTTCCCCCTTCTGGCCTGCAGGTGTACATGCAGGCAGAACACTGTATACATAACAAATAAAATCTTTAAAAAAAAAAAAAAGGAAGTGCTCTTAATTGCTGAGCATCCATTTTTCTCTCAAAGCGGTCTCCTTATGTAGGCTTGCCTGGCCTGGACCTCAATATGCAGACCAGGTTGTCCTCGGACTCACAGGAATCTGCCTGCCTCTGAGTGCTGGAATTAAAGGTGTGCATCACCACACACTGGTGATACGCAATATTCGCAATAAAAATCAAAATGAATATTTTTTCCAAAATGCAAGCAAGCGCCCCATCCCCAGAACCTCTTCTAAATTTGACTTGTGATTTGAATCCATGGATGAGAGCCTATGGATATGGAGAGCCAGCTAGGTAGCAGTCCAGATGCTACATGGTGTGAGGGAAAAATAATGGTGACGGATTCACCCTCAAGGTCATAGCAGAGTTCCTGGAGGTGGTGAGGAGGAGTAAGCCACTGGGTAGGGAAGACCCTGCTCCAGGCAGAGGAGCAGTTGGTGTATAGGCATGCAGAGATTATTGAACAGTACAGAGTAAGAGAGAGATAGTAGCCGGGCAGTGGCGGCACACGCCTTTAATCCCAGCACTCGGGAGGCAGAGGCAGGCCTCTGTGAGTTCGAGGATAGCCTGGTCTACAAGAGCTAGTTCCAGGACAGGAACCAAAAACTACGGAGAAACCCTGTCTCAAAAGATACAAAAAAAAAAAGAGAGAGAGAGATAGTAAGAGACACAATTAGACCTCTCCTCTCCCTGCCTTCTTTTTGCTTTCCTTCAATGGGTTCTTACATATCCCAGGCTGGCCTCAAACTAACCATGTGTCTAGGGTGACCTTGAATTGAATCCTCCTGCCCTCCATCTCCCAACTACTAGGATTATAGTTTATACTGCCACACACCTGGTTATACAGTGCTTGGGGTTAAATCCTGGGCTTTGGGCTTTATGTATGCTAAGCAAGCTCTCTACCAACTGAGTTCCATCCCTAGCTTTGTAGTCAGACTTCAGATGCCTCTCAGAGGTTTAAGAATGGGAGGACCAACACCATTTGACTACTTTTGTTGTTGTTGTTGTTTTTGTTTTTTTGAGACAGGGTTTCTCTGTAGCTTTGGAGCCTGTCCTGGAACCAGCTCTTGTAGACCAGGCTAGCCTCGAGCTCACAGAGATTTGCCTGCCTCTGCCTCCTGAGTGCTGGGATTAAAGGTGCATGCCACCCAGCTCCATTTGACTACTTTATATTAAAAAGTTTTAGGGAGGGGCTGGAGAGATGGCTCAGTGGTTAAGGGCACTGACTGTTCTTCCAGAGGACCCGGGATCAATACCCAGCACCCACATGGCAGCTCACACTGTCTGAAGATCCATTTGCAGGGAATCTAACACCTTCACACCAATGCACATAAAAATAATGTTAAGCCGGGCGATGGTGGCGCACGCCTTTAATCCCAGCACTCGGGAGGCAGAGGCAGGCGGATCTCTGTGAGTTCGAGACCAGCCTGGTCTACAGAGCTAGTTCCAGGACAGGATCCAAAGCCACAGAGAAACCCTGTCTCGAAAAACCAAATAATAATAATAATAATAATAATAATGTTAAATAAACCATAAAACATATTTTAAAAAGTTTTAGGGAGGCAGAGGCCAATGGATCTTTTTGAGTTCAAGCCAGCCAGGGCTACATCATGAGACTATCTTTAAAAAAAAAAATAGTTGTTTTGTTTTGTTTTTTTTACTATCTAGCCTTTTAGAGAAGTTTGTTCTCTTTGAAAGAAAGTAGTAAAAGGCTCCCCCTAGCTGCTGTGACATAAAGGACAGGAGTGTGGAGGCAATGGGAATAATCCCAAGTGCAAGGTGTATAGTTTGGTCTGTGGTGGTATGGAAGTAGTAAGATGTGTCAGGTTCTGGAAATATTTAAGAGGATAGATCTGAAAATCGATAATGGATTAGATTCTGGAGTGAAAGAAAGAAAGTGTCAAGAATAACTTAAAAAATGTTTTTCTCAGCTGGGTGGTAGTTGCGGACACCTTTAATCCCAGCACGTGGGAGGCAAAGATAGGTGGATCTCCGAGAGTTCGAGCCCAGTCAGGTCTACAAAGAAAATTCTAGCATAGCCAGGACTATTACACAGAGAACCCCTGTCTCAAAAAGAAAAGTTTTTCCCATGGACTTTTATTCAACCAGATATTCATTGAGGGTCTAGATGATGGGCATTGCAACAATGGCTAAGCCAGCACTTTTGGTTTCTAGGGACTTAGCAATATGGAGTTGTGATAGCTCATTGTCTTTTGGTGGCATCACAACTCATTTGGTTGGTTTTTTTTTAACTTGTTTTTAGTGCTTCAAAATGTCCTTTGTGTGGATATGCCCCAGTATATATTCAGTTCACTTTTGAAGGACGTCTTGATCACGTCTAAATTTTAGTAGTTATGAATAAGACAGCTATAAACTACACCTGGCTTTTAAGTTTTTAATTTCAATGAGGGCCAATTTCTCAGTTTGTTCTTTCTTTTCTTTCTGTTTTTTTTTTGTTTTTTTGTTTGTTTGTTTTTGTTTTTTTAGAGACAGGGTTTCTCTGTGGCTTTGGAGCCTGTCCTGGAACTAACTCTTGTAGACCAGGTTGGCCTTGAACTCACAGAGATCCCCCTGCCTCTGCCTTTCCAGTGCTGTGATTAAAGGCTTGTGTCATCATCGCCTGACAGAAACCAGTGTCTTATGCATGGTACATGTACTGAGTGTACATTTCCAGTTGTTGAAACTACGGCAGTTTGAACTTGACCCTGACTGGTGTGACAAAGGAATGAAGAAAGGACAGACACATGTACAGAAAAGCTGGGATTGAGTGGACTATGTGCTCTGATGGAGGCACCCTAGCAGCAGCCCCAAAAATCAGTGCATTTATTTATATAAATATATATATATGAGTGTGTGTGCAGATATAATACATATACATATATATATACATATATATTAACCAATTGAGGAGGCAGATTTTGCTAATTTCAGTATGTGTCTCTGTAGGGAACTCTCAGGCTGTAAACATTTAGGAGGAAAAAAACCCAACTGTGGTTTATACTTTGTACAGACACTGTCAACATCTGACCTAGACCATGGGAAGAATTTGTTGTTTCTAGGAATCTAAGGCATTGAAGTTCTTGATACGCTATGTTCATATCAACAATGCACATCCACTCAGGACTTCATCCACTCTCTACACCCAGCCCTTGTTTTTTTAAGGCAGGGTCTTGCTGTACAGCTCAGCTGTCCTAGAACTCAAGGTCTTTCCGTGTCAGCCTCCCAAGTGCTAGGAGTATAGGCATGTGCCATCTGCTTATCTGAATCTTTCTGTGCATTGTAGAGTTTTGGATTTGGGGGTTATTTTGTTAAGGCAAAGTCTCAACATGCAACCCTGGCATCTTAGAACTCACAATGCAGACTAGGCTGGTCTTGAACTCAAATCAGCCTGCTGTTGAAGGGAAAGGGCTCTGCTTTTGGTCCCGGCCACCCCATAGCTTACACCTGAAATAATCACACAGAAACTGTATTCATTTAAACACTACCTGGCCCATTAGCTCTCTCATTTCTATTAATCTGTGTATCACCACGAGGTTGTGGCTTACCGGGAAAGATTCAGCATGTCTGACCTGGCAGCTCCATGGCGGCTCTCTCTGCCCTTCTTCCCAGCATTCAGTTCTACTCTGCCTATCTAAGTGCTGCCCTATCAAAAGGCCAAGGCAGTTTCTTTATTCAGCCAATGAAAGCAACACATCCAGCCTACCTCTTCCTCCTCAGGGCTGGGATTAAAGGTATTCACTACCATGCCTGCCCTGAATTTTGGAATTTAGAATTGAGGATGCTCATCCTGTGATATGCCATGCAACTCACCTGTGGAAGTTTGTGATTTAATACTTTTTAATACATTCATAGAGCCATACAATCATTAATCAACTTCAAAACATTTTCATCATTCTAAAAAAGAAACCTCATATCTCCTTGCCTCTTTCCTATCTCCTGTAACTACTAATCTGCTTTCTGTCTCCATACAGTTGTCTATTATGGACATTTCATTTGGATGGAGTCATATGCCATGTGCTCCTTTGTGTTTAACTTTCTTCACTTGGCATGTCATTTATACCTTTAGCCTTTATTAGAACTTCGGTCCTCCTTGTGGCCAAATGAAATTACATACTATGAATCTGTCATATTTTATTATTAATAGACAAATAGATGTTTGACTATTATATGTACTAGTGCTATGAACATCCATA